GGAGCCCCTAGTAGCGATGCCCTTGCTCCTAGTAGCTTCTTGTTCCTGGGCCTTTGGAGTCAAATGGTGCACATTCCCAAACCGGATCCACTGGTCCACCTTCTCGTTGGTTTTTCTTCTACGACGTCGAGGTCGTCTCGGCGCAGGAAGACTGGCGCCTCGTATTGTCTCTAGATCTTCACCGCACCTGAGCTTCGGTACTTTCCTGGATCTCTATACCAGCACCTCCAACAGGTCACCAATTGAAACCTGTTAGGGCCTAACAACCCTCCAAAGGAGACCTGTTGGCAGGTGCTGGTATCCCCAGCTGATGTCGACCGCTTCGCCACCCCGCGCCACCACCGCGCTTGTTCGGTGATAGACGTCGTGTACGTACGGTCGTTCGCCTGGGTCTCCCCGGCTGCTGGGCCACTCCCGGAAGCTGCGCGGTGGAGCGGGGGATGCCAGCTGAACCTGGAGGTCGATCGACGGAGGGTCGCGAGGTCGGGACGGAGGGGTCTCAGAACTGGGATGCCAGCTGGGCGAGGTCGCAAGATGCACCCGAAAACATGGTACAGCCAGCATCTTCACCAGCAAAGTGTTTAGAGTTTAGACCATGTTTGACCGGAAAATGGGAACATGACCCTAAGCAAAACCAGGAGAAAAAAAAGACAGGAACAAGCAGCAGCACCCAGTTCGGGTGGTCATAATCAAGGAAATATACCTATATATAGTCAAAAGGAAAGTAGTTTTCCAGGAGTCACAAGGGGGTGCCATCCATGGAGGATAGGGGTGCCCCTGTCACATCCACTCACTGGATGGGACTCAAAAGCATACTGCTTGTGACTCGTGGTTCTTGATCTTTCTTGCGATCTTAGAAAGCAAGTGCTTGGGACGAGCTGCTTGGACCTCATGAAACCGTCCATGTCGACGAGCTAGCAGCTAGGACCTGGGGTTCCAGGTCAGCTTCGCTCGAGGTCCCGGCGACCCCCCCCAGCTTCTGACTCCCTCAGTTTCCCATTGGGAAACAAATCGGTGAACCTATCCCAGACACAACCAGTCTGGGACTGCCAGTCCGGACTGCCGAGAAACGGCCAGGGGTGGTGGTCTTGGGGGTCAATGGGGCGGCATAGATGGCAGTCCCATGGAGTGTCTGGGTATGTCTCCGTGTGCTCCTATTTAGTGGGGAAAGGTTTCAGGTTTTCAAGCTGATCCACTGAGGCAAGGGGGGTATTGCTGTTCAAAAGACATGGTCGCCCTTCTTTGACATTTAGCAGTTTAGCCACAAAACATGACTAAAAACCAGAACTGCTTGTAACGACTCTGTCTTTCAGCAGGCCTTTTGGGGTGATGTTCCCCTGTTCCCCTTGTTGGGACCATACAAAGAAAGGGCCGCCTTCTTCATCGTCACTGCCGAACGAAGAGCATCCATTGCTTCGTCTTGGGTACCACAAATAGATCCCTGCAATGACGTTGCACCACAACATCAGGGCCGGGTTCCAGTTAGGCCTCTACATATAGATTTGAATCGATGTACCTCCTGTCGGGGTGTCTCAACAAGACGAGGCCGGAAACATGGTGATTCGGGGTGTGCCAAAGCCACCAGGCGAAAGAAAGGTCCTGGTATAGGAGGATGAAATCGTAATTCGGATACTGCATAGTATATCTTCTGAACGTGAGGGAATCTTGTTTGAACGTCTTCAGGGATTCAGATTGCATGTTTTAACGTGTAAAAACATGTTCCCTTATCTTCAGAGCCCAACAAAAAACGACGAAGAGAAGTCCGCGGTGATCTATGGGCACAAAAGGGGGTCACACCTCAGCTGGAAAGTGTCAGCTTGTGTAGCTGGTTGCTGAGTTTCCTCACCATACGCGTCTTTCCACGTAGCATCCCAAACCTCCTTGACTCTCTGAATAAAGGCCTAAGGAAGAGGCAACATCTTGTGAACTTGCTTGCCAAAGACCCGAGGACGGGGGGTCCGTCAGGTTGTAGCATCAGAAAAAGCAGCTACTTCCATGAGCCCAGGCTACCAGAAGTCTTCGATCCACTTCTGAGAACAGCTCAGGGCAGGTGCCAGGGCAGGTGCCAGGGATGCAGGTGCCACACTTTTCGACACCCCAAGTCCTATAGTTCTAGCATTTGAGCAGGAATGCGGTGCAAGTCGTGCTGGAGTCAACAGGTTCTTTCCTTCTCTTTCCTCTTGAAGTTGTCTCAAATGAATCCACTTCTCAGAAGCGTACCATGCACCCAGGCTGCCTCTTGGACTCTATCTTCCACTTGTCCCCTAAAATGGTGTGTTCTTGACGTTCGACAACTTCACAGCTCAAGACATCTCAAGACCAATCACCCAAAATAATATGTTTCTTGACTTCTCAACTGGAGAACACAGCTAGGCTTCTTTCAAGCTCCAGCATCTCTTTCAGGACCTGAGCCGTCAGTGACCTCTTTGGAGTCTCCAAAAAGAGAGTGACCCTTTACAGGCCTGGGCCAGTATCCTTCGAGGCGAGACGCATCTGGAGTCTCCTGCTCGGATGGGTACAAAGGAGCTGACACTGCGCTGACCTTGGACGGGCGGAGCCATGGCACTGGGGGAGAAACACCGCGTTGTCCGGCCAAAATGAACCGAATAGACGCCACCAGACATGATCCCGGGGTTTTCAGAGGAAGTGGACTCATCATGACTCATCACAGTACTATCCCTAATGGGCTCCTGGCGTAAGTTCCTGTATTTGGCGCTTGTGTGGCGCCCACCCCAGTCCCACCGAAACGAAACGAAGGTACGACGGTAACGGCCTGGGGTATGTTATCTCTATTCAGGAACTGAACTCTGCTTCTAAAGAGCCAAAGTGCTGTGGGACTAGTAATAAGTGCTTGCACCATCTCGCACCATGTTCCACCCAAGGTTTTGGTTCCGAATGAAAAGTTAGTATCTCAAACTCAACCCATAGGACTGGACTGGAATATTTGCCTCCATTTGGGTCAATGTACTACTAGTAGCAAGAAACTACAAGGAACAAAGGAGCAAGGACGCTACTAGTAGCTCCTGGCATCGCCCTGTAGTTAGAAGATTCCAGTTTTGATGGATTCCTGGGGCTATGGCTATGACCTGAAAGTCACTTCCAAAGCGAGGCCGTCTGAGGCACCCAACACAGTTCACACCACAGCCCAAGACGCAGGCCTT